AGAGCACAGAAAGCCCATTGTGTAGCTTTGAGTTTGTTTGTTTGGAATTAAACAAACTAAATCAATAATAGTGCGTTGGTTTTGTTGAGTTCTGGTGCTGTATAAATAGCACTAAATAAATAATAATGTGTTGATTTTGTTTATTTCTGATGCTGCATAAATAGCATTAAATAAATAATGAATTGGTTTTGTTGAATTCTGATGCTGTATAAATACCACTAAATACATAATAATTCGTTGGTTTTGTTGAATTCTGATGCTCTATAACTCGGAATAAATGAGCAAGAATGCGTCGGTTTGATTGGATTCTAATGCTCTATAACTTGGACTAAATAAAGAAGAATGCGTATGTTTGGTTGGATTCTGATGCACAATAACTAGCACTAAATAAATAATAGTGCGTTGGTTTTGTTGAATTCTGATACTGTATAAATAGCATCAAATAACTAATAATGTGTTGGTTTTGTTGAATTCTTACACTGTTTAAATAGCACTAAATAAATAATAATGTGTTGGTTTTGTTGAATTCTTACACTGTTTAAATAGCAATAAATATATAATAATACGTTTGTTTTGTTGAATTTTGATACTGAATAAATAGAACTAAATAAATAATAATACTTTGGTTTTGTTGAATTCTTACACTTTTTAAATAGCACTAAATAAATAATAATGAATTGGTTTTGTTGAATTCTGATGCTGTATGAATACCACTAAATGAATAATAATGCAATGGTTTTGTTTATTTGTGATTCTACATAAATAGCATTAAATAAATAATGAATTGGTTTTGTTGAATTCTGATGCTGTATGAATACCACTAAATAAATAATAATGCAATGGTTTTGTTTATTTGTGATTCTGCATGAATAGCATTAAATAAATAATGAATTGGTTTTGTTGAATTCTGATGCTGTATGAATACCACTAAATAAATAATAATGCGTTGGTTTTGTTTATTTGTGATACTGCATAAATAGCATTAAATAAATAATGAATTGGTTTTGCTGAATTCTGACGTTGTATAACTAGCACTAAATAAGTAATGGTGCATTGAATTTGTTGAATTCTGGTACTCCATAAATAGCACTGAATAAATAACAGTGCGTAGATTTTGATGAATTCTGATACTGTATAAATACCACTAAATAAATAATAATGCGTTGGTTTTGATGAATTCTGATGTTCTATAACTAACACTAAATGAATAATGATGTGTTGGTTACGTTGGATGGCCTATATTTAGCACTAAATAAATAATCATGCATTGGTTTCATTGGATGGCCTATATTTAGCACTAAATAAATAATCATACATTGGTTTCATTGGATGGCCTATATTTAGCACTAAATAAATAATCATGCAT